TTTGTAGTTTACGCGAGTTACACGTTTAAATAAAACACTTTAACGGTTTAAAACGCGATATATATTAGTTAAACTTGTAAATTATTTGACATCAGTCCGCGCTAGCGTAGCAGTTTTTTACATTGACGTCAGAGACGCCCTCCATCTTTAGTCTCCCCGTGACCACGGCTGCTGCATCTGAAACGTCGGATGCTTGGCCTCGTCTGTCATAAAAAAACTTGGCTGTCAATAATTGAACAATGATAATTGTTTATCTGCATTAATTTTCTTATCGAAAACAAATGTTAACTCCAATATATCGCTTTTATCACTTTATGTAATTTATAATTATCTGATAACAATGTAATTGTTGATTGAAATCGTGATGAATAATTAAATTATTGTTAGCTATAATTCGATAAATCCCAAAGCCATTGTTGGTCAACATATATTTGGGATCAGAACTAGTTTATCCTACATGGTAATTACCTCGAACTCGATTTTATCAAAATAAATAGGGCCGTTTAGGGCAAAACACTAACCGCTGTAAATCCTGGTAAACTTTTGCTTGAATTGGTATATAATGCAAGTAGGACATAAATTATATAGTTTTTCGTCATCGAATTGATAATAAAACGTCGGGCCCTAGTTGATAATAATGCAAATGAGTTTAACTAATATATTTCGCGTTTTAAAGTGTTGAATATTTTATTAAAAAATAAAACATCGTTTAAACAAACAAACGTCTTAAACTTGCAATTGCACGCCAAACTCCTGTTGTTGCTTACGAAATCTCAAATATTTTAATGACCGTTTTTGCATGCGCACGCACATGAGCTGCAATTTATGTGACAGATGTAAGTAGCGGACGATGTTTATTTTTGACGATTATTTTCATACGAGACATTTATTAATTGTGCAAGCGCATATGGCCTTTCTTGGTTATACGGCTATATAATTATATGAATTTCGAAATGATCTATACTACGTACTGTACTACGTACGTGAGTACTATTTAACGGTTTTAAACGCGAAATATATTATTTAAACTTGTTTATAAATTATTGTTTCGTTGCTGCTGCAAACCATCCCAAACGTGGGGCCATAAAAATTAACAATTTCTACACAAGTTTTACTGATATATTTCGCGTTTTAAGCAGTTAAAATGTTTTATTTAAATGTGGTAAGTATCATTAATCAATAGAAATCGTTTTAAAGGCACAGTTCTTACTTGACCTCTAAGAATGTGTTCTTTGGCTACTTTAGTATCCATTTTTTTTAAATGAATTAATCATTTCTGAAATAAGATAGCTGTTGGTTCGAATATTCAAGCTTCCCTATATACATATGAAAGTAATTCTATCTATGCCTACCACCTATTCAGAATACAATTAAAAAAAATATATAAAACCTTAATACGACCATTTTAGTCTATTGGTTAGGCTAGTTACACTCGACAGAAAATCATGCGTTCGGCCGTTTTAAATCGTGATGAAATTTTTGTTCGATATTCGAATATTCTTCTACCGGCTTATTCTTATTAAATTTTGGAGGTAGTTATTCATGTCTACTTTTGAGAAGCGTGGTGGGTATAGAATTAATAGTTCGGAACATGTAAAATAAAAATATTCACTTCTAATAAAACACACAAAATAAATACTCCCGGGTTGATTACAAAGAGTTTTCGTGTGTACAATGTTGTTTTATGAGCTAGCCATAAAGTGTAAACATCGCCTTGAACGCGAAACTCAAAATATTTCATTGTTGCTGGCACCGTTTCCACTCGTTACTATAAATGAGGTTATCGCTATTCAGAAAATTAGTTTTGTAATCGTTTTTCATATTAAACGTTACTATAAAAACAACACGCGTATGTATAATATACTTAAATACGTACGTGATTTACGCGAGTAGTACATTTAAAAATACTTAAACGGTTTAAAACGCGAAATCATTTTAAATACGACACGATGTTTTAGATGTTTCGCAGCAACCGCGGTCACGAGGAGACTCCTCACGGTGATTTGTAAATAATGTTTAAATAATATATTTCGCGTTTTTAAGCGTTATAGTGTTTTATTTAAATATATTATACTTAGAGGTACTTATTACATAAATAATTAGACAGATTTAAGATTTTGCCAAGGAAAGTCCCCTCCGTACCTCAGTGGTTAAACGCTTATCAAGTGCGCTCACTTGTAAATACAATCGATTAGAGAAAGAGACGCAATAATGTGTCTGCCACGTGCTGCATTTGAGGAAATTAGGGTTTTTTATGTCAAACAAAGATCTCTTTGAAATAATTGTATAGTACAAATGAATGTCTATTTATTTCTTTTGATCTTTAATAAGATATAGTTTCTAAGTAAGTACAATTAACATCTGTTTTTTAATTATGGTTTCCTGGTATTTCCAAGACTATAGTACTATGTTGTATGAAATTTCACTGACACGTCTATATTTCCCGGTCTATGGAAAACTATTATATTTCCTTGAAAATCGAATCTAGTACCTCGTGCTTACTAGATTACGCATAACCACTAAGCCATGTAGACAGACTTTACAAGACGGGATATTAAATGCAATGAAGTAAAGTAGCTCTAAAACCATTTTAAAACTTGTATACTCCAACTGAGATTACATGGAGCGCAGTTTGCGAGCGTAGCACAGTTTTATGTTTCACTGGTGTATATAACATCAATAAACATGCAACAAACTTTGCACGATGAAGTTAAAATGTTTTAACTACGCCGTGGGATCTGACAGTTAATTTAATGCGAGGCAAAGGTTATCGGTGCTCAGCGCGCTCTAGAACTTTGATGAGGATACGAATTATTATACACGATGTTTTTTTTCCTCCTTGCGAATACACGATGACTAAATTAAACCCAAAATACAATATGGTAACAGAATCTTAATGAATATTTGACGGGCTTGTTGGTCTAATGGTAGCAATAATCAACGAGTCGTGAGTTTGATCCCCATCGGGTCAACAATTTTTACATTTTCGTCGATAGGAATATCGAATACCGTCCAGATCACGAACCACCGTCCACAGATGAAAAAATGGTGAAATTTAATCGCGTTTCAGTCTGGATTTCCAAAATCCAAAGCTAAAAATAGGTCGACTTCGCATCTCGTTGAGATGTTATATAGCTGGCGGAGTTCGCCTTCCATCAAGAGATTATTATGCCTCTCTGGCCTCCTCTATCATAAAGAAAAATATATCAGAGACAAAAATGCAAGTATCCGATATCAATAAGTCGAATATCGTGAGCTTTTTTCGTACCTTATTATTTTACTATTAATGTTTTTTATTTATTTATGTAAACGGGGAAGTCGGCTACTAGTGACATTTAAATATATATCGCGTTTTAAACTGACAAATTTAACTAGCTTAATATATTAAACTGTATACATGTTGTATTGAATTTAACATTACGTAAATATGTGGTGTTCTGATCTGTAAATAAAACCTTCATAATTTTTTGTTGTATAAATATGATTTTTCATGCTTTTTGTACACTAAAGTAGTCTTGTAAATGTCAAGTGGCTTATGTGCTTCATGCCCACAGCAGTGAGATTAAATCACTTAATTACCTGATAGTTCTACCTAAATGAATAAACACCAGGACATTATAAAGTTAAAATGATTTATTTTATTGAAGGGTGTTTACAATTGTTTCCTAGCTTGTAAATTCTTATAGAGTATTTAATTCTAATCTAATATTTACCTAATTATCTTATCAAATGTATTCGTTATCAATACATATTTTTAAATAAAACACTTAACGGCTTAAAACGTGCAATTTATTAGTTATTTATATTGCGGTCAAAGCGGGCACGGCTGCTGCACAAGTTTCTCGTTCGATTCCTGGTGGTAGTAACTTTGGTTCCGCCTGTATGTGTCTAACACGTTAACATTAATTAATAAACACAACGAAGCTATAAAATTTTAATTATAGTAATCTATCAAAATTTACATTTTATCGTTATACTTAATTAGATTATTTTTAATTTAAATGCACGATGGATAAGATTGGATTGGTTTTATCCAATCGTAAATTTTATCTTTATTTATGTGTACGACTTTTAAAAGTTTAATTCAGTTAAATTGTATTAAGACTTACACTTATCGTAAAAATTAAAATTTATTTTTAAATTATAGTTTCTTATGTTATTAATAGGGTGACACCACGTGTAGAGTGGGGTGAGATATGGGGTGAACACATTTCTAAGTCCGGGATTTGAGCCCAGGAGCTGCTCATGCGTTTAACCTTTCAGCTACGAGGGTAAAAAATCTTTTAGACACATATGGGACTCGAATCCGCGATAGACTAAGCTACCAGGTTGTCAGACATTCTCAGCGTAAACTATATTTCATGTAAGCGATTATATTAGCCTCAATACCCAGTAAGTACTTCTGCGCCTAGGTTTATTCAACGAGAATAAGCGTGCTTATCTCCAAGTTTTATGAGTATTTTACGATTATTGCCACTTCGAATTGGTAATAACTCCGTTCGATATGAAATTTTCTATAGAGGTATATAATTTAAATGGATATGTTCATTTAAGTCTTTTATGGATCCATATTAATTTTTATAGCGGCTCAGAGGTCGGGGGAGTATCGAAACTCATTATGCCCATAATAGCCCCGAGCTCGCTCATGTCGAATGCTAAATTAATTAAGGCTGATGTCATTCACCATTCTTTCGAGTACGTCTGCGAATGCGATCGCTGCTTTTTTATGTTGCCCTGGTATTTCAGCATTATGTGGTGGTTGGTTTTAATGAGGGGAAATTATTTTACATTTCGTACCTAAATAAAAACATTACAATTTTGATTTAACATGGGACATGGGGGTTCATTTACATGCAAAGAAATATGGAGTATTAGAAAGTAAATTAAGTTTTTAATACACTAATGTTTATATCTGCTAAAGTTAAATTCTATTGTTTCAGGGCTACAATGGTGTGTGTGTGTGCTTGTGAGCGGGGGGCGGGCGGAGTGTGTCGGCGCGCATGGCGGCGCCAATGAGGGAGGGCGCGCCGGCCGGCGGAGCTCGCCCCGCGCCCACCACACACACCAACTTCGAGTACGATGACAACGAGTGGGACATCGGCATCGGAGACCTCATAATAGACCTCGATGCCGACATAGAGAAGACCGACGAGGCGGGCGGCATGGCGGCGCGCGCCGAACCGGACGCGCAGCGCACCGCGCTCAAGATGAAGATCAAGCGCACTAAGCCAGGCACCAAAAGCTCCGAGGCTAAACACGAGATCGTCAAATCGAACGAAATGAACGGCGAACCGAAGACGCCGTCAGCGGCCGCCGCGCCGCCCGCTGTGAAGCGAACGGGCGGACACAGGAGAGACAAGGCGAGGGACAAGCACCACCACCCGCATCCGCCGCATGACGTCAACGGCGTGGCGAGGGTGCCACCGCCCCCGAACGCGCCGGGGCCGCCTGCGCAGGCGCAACCGCCGCACGCGACCCCTCATGCGCCGCCCCAGGCTCCCAAACCGGAGCCGAGGCCGGCAGCCCCGCGAGTAGAGCCCAAGCCGGCAGTGGCGCCCGCGGCACCCGTCCCCGTACCACCCCCGCCACCTGCACCCGCGCCTGCGCCGGTCGCGTCCCCTGCCAAGCCAGAGTCAGACGACTCGAGGCAGGAGCCGCCGAGTTCGCAGCCGCCTGCGAAAAAACAGAAAACTGATAATAAGGTAAGAACGTTTAACTGTATGCTGCAAAGATATAAAAAAATCTTCATATACATTAGCTAAAAACTAAGCAGATACGATATAGATTATACAAAACAGACAAGTTTATTTATTATTATGGAAATACAAGTACATCTTTTTTACACAAGTGCCTGTAATTAACAGCAGTTTGCAGTTTTAAATAACCACAATTTATTGTCCAAAACGAAAAGACACTTTAAAAATAAAATGATGATAAATGAAACTAGCAGCGCGGACCACTATGCTACCTAAGCAGATTCTTAAATACATCATGCCATTATGTAAAGATCTCCAGTGTTAGAGCGTATGTTTACAAAGCAGATTAGAGATTTTAAATAACGTCCCATGAACTTAAATTCTGTACCATTAAACATAGCGAGATTATCTTCAAAGGCCGTGTCACATTTTGTCATTGTCGAAACAGAATTCTTATTCCGTTCGACTCGTTTGACTGTGATCGATGTGTCATTTTAAACGTATTCCATGTCAATAAAGTTATCTGCAAGCCTTGATCTACAATATTGACTATTTGCGACTTACTTTTACGGTAGATCCAGTGCTGGATATGCCCCACCCCCCAAAGACTTGAATCCAGCGTTTTCCATCTACCTTGACCAGGCCAGTCCACCTGTGAGGAGGTCGTCTAGGTTTTCAACGTCCGGTACGTGGTTTCCCCTCGAGAACTTTGTGGCCCCATCCAGAGACATCCTCCATCTTTAGTCTCCCCGTGACCACGGCTGCTGCAAAGCATCCGAAACGTCGGGCCGAAGTTAAAAAATCATTTTCAAATAAGTTTAACTAATAGATCGCGTTTTAAATCGTTAAAGTGTTTTATTTACATACAATACCCAAGTTAGGAGACCAGGCTTCGGTACCGTACGTACCTACTTATCTATAGCTAATTGTCCGAACATTCTTACCAGCGATATTCGATTGTTTCTGCGTTTAATTGCCGGGGTTTGGGGCTGTTTGCAAGGTTGATTGAGTGCAAAGGGGTGGGGTGTAATCCACGCCGCCCGCCACAGTGGTTAAATCAGCTTGTGCCACCCCGCACCGCGTTCACTGCACTCGACAAATTAATGATATTGTTCCCTTTGAGACAGCAGATGCTGATAAGATTTCATTAAACTTAATATCTTAAGAACGTGTGGTTGTGGGTCTTTATTTTGTGATAAAGGATAGATAAGCATAGGATTCACTAACTGAAAGATGAGACCCCAGTCTCATCTTAAATTTATCGTAATAAAATTAAAATTGATTGACGGGAATCGAATCTAGGACCTGTTGATTATTAAGCCATTTATTACTACCATGAGACCAACCACCATATTATCATAAAAGGTTACATTAAACGATCAATAAGTTTTATTGATCACACAACGAAGTCTTTTATTGATCGTTTAATGTAACAACCTAGATTTAACAGTTCAAAACGAAAAGTTTAACAGTTGATTTACTTTTAACCAGTTGACAATATATGTTATTATAATTTAAAACTTTCCAAAACATAACTACAAAAAATGCATTTATTCTTTAAATTAAACACTTTAACGGTATAAAAGGTGATGTATATTAGTAAAACTTATTTGAAAATTATCTACCTACGACCCGACGTTTCGGATGCTTTGCAGCAGCAGTGGTGGAGAGACTCTGTCTTGTAGTTTAAAACTGTCGCAAAAAATCGCGTTTAAAACCGTCATATTTACTTAAATGTGTACTACTCGCGTAAACTATAGACAGTATTTTGCATTTGGTTTACAATTAAAATAAGGGTTTAAAGCGACTGTGTGTCTATTTCTACAGCTGTTATTTTAAAGTCGGTTCGTTGCTAAAACACTTTCTGATCACCAACTAACAGGTCAACTCATCAAACATTAATAAGCACAAACGCATTTCACCACAATGTTGCCAGCCGCCATTCGCTATTAATCAAAACGTGACGCGATATTGCAACACAGATTCCGCAACGTCGCTTATCAAAAGACCTGTCATCATCAAATTATGGCGACACTTGAGAAATACGTGTAATGCGAGATTAACGCTCGAGATTGAAGATATCATCAGCATAACAGCCGTTCCAGTACACCTAAGTCAGGTGCCGTAGCCAAGTCATTCTAAGACAATTACTTGTACGTAAAAAGGCATTACCAATATTTTAACGGTTTAAAATCATATATTTTTAAATATAAAGATGTAAAACAGCATTTCGTTTGAAACCGTCGAAACTGTTTTATTTGGCTTGTGTAAAACATTTGTAACGCTTTAAAACGCGAAATATATTACGGGGGAAGTCCGACGTGACTATAGCTGCAAAGCATCCGAAACGTTGGGCCGTTGAAATAAATTGTAAGTTTACTAATATATTTCATGTTTTAAACCGTTAGAAGTGTTTTATTTAAATATCGTGGTGTTGTTTATCGTGATTGACACAAAGAAGCGAAAGAGTTTGTAGTTTAATACATTCAGCGTATTAGCATAATGGTATTATATTGTAAGTGGCTTAGAATTTGTCTATTTTATTATGTGTGCAGATGGTAACCACGATGTTTTATGAGTACAGAAAATTGGATCGCTTTGGATACGAGGGCGAAGTGTATGTGTATGTGAATATTTCGAGTGTAAAGATGGAGGGGTCGCGACGCCCTTTGCTTTTCTTGCGAGAGGGGAGAACGTCTCCGAAATTCCTCTCATTAATCAATGTCGGGAGCCCTAAAAATTTCTAAAGTATCGGCGAAATCAATTTCACGTCCGCTCCCCAACCGGGAAAGTTTCAAAGGCGCGGTAATTAAAGATATCAATTTCGTTTTAAATAAAATTTAAGCGCAAGCGCTCTTCATTGTTTGCACTTCTGAGCGCGCCATTGTTTTTTTGTTCTATTATTTGCTTAAAGTATTTTAAACTGTAATAACTCTCTCCATTATAAACCGGACATATAATAATATAAAACAAATTTTATCGCTATGTCGGTTCTGTACGCTATTTAAGGAAATTATGTCGAAAACTGTAAAAAGCCCTTTCGCTTTGATGTGTCCGTAGAATTTTTAGGGTTCTGTAGGTAAAATTGACACTATTCGGTAATCGTTATCTGTCCCTCTGTTTCTACTGTAACAAAATTTTCGCTAACTTATTTGCCATTTATTTTAACTATGGCCCGACGTTCTCTTGAAGTACACCTTTGACTATTAAAACTTGGATGCTGCAATGCATCTGAAACGTCGGGCCGTATTGAAAAAAAATTGCAAAGAAGTTATCTCATATGTTTCGCGTTTTAAACTGTTAAAAGTGTCAAATTTAAATGTATTCTACTAGCGTAAATTACAAACAATACTTAGTAAAATAAATAAGTAACAGAATATCTCCCAATACAATACAAAATTTATGTACTTCTACTAGGTACGGAACCCCTCGTGTCACATCCGACTCGGCCTGACCGGATTTTTATTCGAAAAGGTGCGTTTACTGCATACCTTGGTTTGAATATTTCCTCTTTAAAGACTTATTAAAATAACTTGTCTCATTACAACATTCCATCATAAACAAGCGAGGGTGAAGTACATTCACACTTTAACCCTCTTCGTTCGTAATCGATTTCGTCACGGCAAACACTTTTTAAATCGTCGGCCATTTATCTAATTTGATTTCTCTATTCGGTACCATTAAAGTGAACACGTTCAATACTTGATGTTTTAAATATTTCATCAATCGAGTGTTAAAAGGCTTGGGCCCATCACGCTGCTCCAATGCGGGTTGGTGGGCTTTAAGAAACTAACTAGAAATTCAAACCTGCTTAGACTACAACGAGAACAACATTTTATTCGCCTTTAATGACAAATATATAAGATATCAATCTAGCCTGACCAGGGTAACATGATATTTAGCATGTCTCCGTCGTTACGAATGAGGTTAATATCGCCGCCGTGTTCGATTAAACTGATCGCTGCGAATACATTTGCATTTTGATCAGCTGATCAATGTTAGTTGTACTAGTCGCATAGTAATGTCAGTCGAGTGTACTGGAACAGCTGACTTATAGCTAGACTAGCTGTGACAGCGAGTTCGTCCGTTTATCGTTAATTTTCGAATCGTTATTTTGAGCATCCAAATTCGTTTTTGCAAACTCCTTCATCTGCACAAACTTAAGCTGTTACCGTTCTTGTAAGTTATTAATCTTAAAAGATAGACATATATTGTCGCTGTTATTTTTCTACATCATCTTCTAAGCTTTCGCAGCTCACGCATCAAAAACCTGCAAAGTTACACATTGCCCACTGTTTCTTCTCTTCTATTACAGCGCGCAAGTTTTTTATAACCCTTCTTCATAAATGATGTAACTCAAAAATATTTTTTTAAATCCGAATCAGTAGTTCCTGAGATTAGTGCGTAAACGAACAAACTCTTCAACTTTTTATATTAGTATAGATTATACTCGTTAATATCTTTCTAGTAAACATTTATTTATCTATCGTAGTTAGCCAATTATTTCCAGTCACTTGGTTCGATTATCGTTTAATTAATAACGTTTTAATTCGTGTGCAAAATATTTGCGCAAGCCGGTCTAGAGCGTGAGTGATAAATTCGAATGAATTTTTCGCTTCAACGACTTTATTTATATCCCAGTATTGCGTTACCTGCCCTCGGGCGTATCATCGTTCATTTTACGAAAGGTATTACTTTAGCCAAAAGCGAATCTCTGAGCTGTGTTATTAACAATCGATTCGGATAAAAATGCTCTATGCATTTTTACAGTTTAATCTGTATTTTTTATCTGTAATTCTTCATTTGACAATGACAATGACAATTGACAATTATAAAACAATTGTCTGTGATAGATTCGAATATCTTTAGTTCGCTAGATAAAACCTATAGATATTAATGCTAATACTTTTTATAGCGAAAAATACATCATATACACTTTAGATACATGTATTTGAATTATTACATAGTTATATTACTTTTAACTACAACCTCTCGTGACCAAGCTGACTTAATATAGGTATTTTCTTTCTAATAAAAAATGTGAATTTCCCATGAACCTTATTTACACACTTTGAAGCATTTATATATAATATTTTTCTATGTTACCACCCTATATCAAACGAGATAAAAAAGCATTTCCTCAAAAACCAAGTATAATCAATAAAAAGGTCCATTATACTTCACTTACCTTACGAGAAACTGAAATTCTCTGTAGATCTGAGAACGATACGGTTGGCTGAATTTCAAGTGATATTGATATTGGACCTTTGGAAACGGATATGGTACAAATCTCGTTTAGTAATAAAACATAGTTTATATGTTTAGCATTGATATTCTAAAATTTTTTCTTAAATACTTTGCTGTCTAAAGTATAATTATGTATCATAAAAAAGTATTTGTAACGTGTAAAAGTCCAAAATCAAAAAAGGACGACAGCGCATCGCAATTTGTTATAGAGCTAGGTCATACGTCTACCATTAACTCCATGCTTTTCTGTTCTCTTGATATAAAAAAAAAATAAGAAAATGACTACTTACTAGATAATGTTGTATGTACATTGCTCGCAAACTAACAAGGCAACAGAAATGGAAAGGAGGTATCACACAGCTGCCAACTGCTTGCGACTACTGGATAATTATTATTGGCGTAATTAGGATGTGAGGCCGGGCAGAGCCCGCGGCGCCAACCGTCCGGTCTAACAAAATGCCATTATTATTTCCGCTTCGCATTATATCTGCGGTTAGTTAGGTCCGTTTATGTCATGAACAATTGAAGCCATAATAAATTCACTCCGCTGCAAATTGATTCTATATTAATTGCGTCGGCTGTTAGTCTAACTCCGTCGACAACGCAGATATTCATCGTTTACAGTTAACTTGTTTAACGGTTCGCAATCTGTCGATTAAATCGATTTTACACTAACATTCTGTTAGAAATGGGAATTATAATTAAGCTCTTAAGAAGTGTCGAGGGACGTGAAATATGAGAACACGGGCTGCATCGAGTTGTCAGTCGGTTTTACGTACATTCTGTCGACGGGATCGATCGACCGGTCGCCCGATTTGTGAGTCGGAGCGGTAATCCGCAGCTGGCATGTACCTGGTCGGCTCTTTGTTCGAGTGGAAAGTTTCGGAGCGGATTCGTCGCAGTAAACGCTCCCCAAATATATAAACACCAATGTTATTGCCGGTAAGCGCTGTTACAACTTCCAACCTCAAACGGCTGAATGGTTTAATTCAAATTCGGGTATAAATTAAACTGGTCGAATAAAGCGCAGACAACTTGACAGAGATAATGTAGATGTTTCCTAAGTAGACGCGTCGTTAAACTGATATTACAGTGTTTGAAGCGGTGACTCAGAACAGAGTGTTTTATTCCACGGCAATTTGTCATATGCATTGCAAAGCCCGATGCGCGCTGAATAAATTCAAATAAAACGAGTGCGAGAGGCGATTACACAAAATCAACAAATGGAGTCGACCGACCAGTCCGCAGACTAATAAAACCTTCACGAAATGCAATATAGGGGAGCCGAGGATCAAAAGCTGATTTTTTGTTACCTTTTTTATAAGCCGCTATTTCGCCCTCCTTTGCGCCCGTGTTGTTTACTAATGGGTTCTGTTGGGTTTGACTTAAGATAATAACTCCGTTTTTTCACGTCCATGTGTCGGCTGTTTTTTGCCGGCGGAAATGCGAGTGTTATTTCGGAGGATTTAAATATATTTGTTGATCTTCTGGCTTAGGTACGGGCGAGTGCATCCGAGTTTTTGTTTGCGCCGGGAGTTAATCCGGTGGCGATTCCCGCGTGGGTTTGTTTTGCAAATTGCCCGTATTTAATTACCGGCTCCGGCGCTTTCGCCCCTCGAAATTTTTCATCGCTGCAATACCCGTGACCATAATCGTTATCGTCGCTTAATCAATCACCGCTCTCGCTTAATTCCCCAATATCCTGCGGTCCCAACTAACAATTACATGAGAGGGTCCCGTATCACCGATGTCCAGGTCCATGGCAATAACATAAATTGTCAAGAGCGGTCGGAAGCGTCCGCCCCCGCCGCTCCGTGCCCCTCGTTCGTCCGAACCCTCGCCAGATTGCTGTCGACTCGACAATCGATATTCAATCTCTTTGACGCTATTTTCTCCCTACTTTTCTTACTTTGTTGGTGTTTAAGATATTGAGACTGCTGGCGTTTAATGTTTGACGTATAGTAACAGTTTGCGTTGCATTATATCAAATTTTATATAGTCTGTAGCGTGATCATAGATTAAAAACACACAATGATGATAATGATAGTCTATGGTTGTTTAAAGTTTTGTGTTGTGTGTGTGCTTTATAATTAATACACAATGCCCAGGCTTAATACAATGTAAATCATACTCAATTACTCGGGTAGCAGATTGGAGAAGGAGGTAATTATGTATTGGGCGTATTAACGCTAATCTCGAGAGTATAATTGAAAGCTTTGTGTGTGGCTCAGAAGCCGAGTGTATCGTTAATAGGTGCGCATACGTAATTTGTTTGTTGAAGACCGTGGCAAGCAGTTATACCCGCTGTGAATAATTTAAATTCATCCCCTTGTAGGGGTGGCTCCCGTATCGATTGTACGTTGCGTCGGTTCTGTGTGCTGTTCATATTACCGGCACTTCGTTGACTCTGTCAGGTTATGTTCTCCTAGTACCTGTGAACTGAGCTCGCTTGTACGGTACGCCGCAAAATCCTGCTCGTCTTTTTAGACTAACTAGTTGG